TGCCTTGCAGAGCTTCTCGTAACTAAGCCTGATTTATACTCCATGTGGAGCCGCAGCCTCACTCCTATGAGAGCATTTGTGCTTTTTGCACTGGTGTGTCTGCGTTGCTCTGCAAACAACACCAAAATGCTAGTTGGCGTCGGGGTTTCTATGCCACTGTGTAGCGCCAACGGCCTCGTCTCTCTCCTCAATCTGTCTTTCATTCTGTGTTTTCCTCGTTTCCTTTTTCTTCCCCTCGACGAGGGAATACGAGGGGGCAAACCAGAGCGTGTCATGCAGCGAGGCAGCGTCCTACATGTCTGTTTGTGTCTGTCTGTGTGAAAGGACACACCTGAAGAGGGATTCTCAAACAGCTTTATTAACTCATCTGGGTGTTTTACACAAGTCTCACCAACACACACACCAAGGCGGTCAATCAGTGTCAAGGTACGGTGTACGGTGAGCCGATGTGCTTTCAGGCTTTAGCTACATAGACAAACAATACTAGTTAGTAGCATCAGTTCTGCTGTTTTGGTCTTTTCATCAGATTTGTGGACAATAAGATGAACAGAATATTGTCAGACTGGTCCTTTAAGGTGAGACAGAAACATCAGAGCACTGTTATCAAAGTCTACTCTGATAATCAGAGTAGACTTTTAGTTCACCTTTAAAAAAATGCTTAGTGTAAAAACCAGCGGCCTGTAAAATGTCCTCCTCGCTCTGCTGCTCTCTGTGGATGACGGGTCCACAGAGCCGGTCAGATAAGGGATCCATCACCCAGAAGGAAAAGTGCTGTGGTTGTTTTAATCCGCTGATATAAATGCACATTAATAAAGTCTGTCTGCACTTCCAACAATCCAAAGACCAAGAACACCAAGAGAGGATAAAAACAGAGTTCAACTGTGTTTGTTACGGATATAAGTTATAGATAATGAGCCAGATAACACTGTAAAGATACAGCTTCTACACTGACCTCCCACTGATGTTTGAATATTTGGCTGGAAGAAGACTTGCAGTGTCCATTACAGAGGGTGTAAAATGTGCCGTTGGTGCTGATTCACCGCAGTCTCACTTTTTGAAGCTTCCTGATGCGGCATTATTGTTCAATATACGCAAGAGATTTATTTATAGCACGACTAATGCAGTGGTAGTGAAACAGAACAAATCAATATTTCTGTATTTACAATGTGAAAGGGGTCTCGCCTATTGGTGAACACACAGGGATCAATCACCTGGATCCACAGCTCTACGGGGCATAGCGTCTTTCAGCGCTCTCACCAGAGTCTTATTTGTCACTGTGTGCTATCGGCGCTACCGGCTCACGAGCTGGTGAACAGAGTGGAACTGAATCAACACAGCTGCATCAAAGCAGATGTTCTTTTAATGAATTTACTAATATGTTTTGTCTGTATTGCAACAGTCTGATAGATCGTATGCTTCTGCAGCAGAGAACTCCGATCAGCACTTTTACTTTACGTCCATTTTATGCCGCTTCGTACTTTTACTCTACTGCATTTGTTTGACAGCTTTTCGATTCTTACAGGGTTTCTGCAGGTTAAATGTGAGACTTTTTACAACCATTATGAACCTACTTCACATCCATATTGACCAAAAGAAGTATACGAAAGAAAATCTGTTTAAAAGCGAGACTGATTAATTAATCCAGTACATTTTTAAGATCTGTCAAAATCATATCTTAAACGTCCAGTGTGTAACATTCAGGAGGATCTATTGGCATAAATGGAATATTATATCAATAGGTATGTTTTCATTAGTGTATAATCACATGAATGTAAGAATTATTGTGTTTTTGTTACTTTAAATGAGCTGTTTTTATCTTGCCCAGAACGGACAAACACTGTAGATACAGACTTGCACGTTTCTCACAAGGTTATTATGGATAAAGTTCCCAGCAGGATATAAAATAGTTCAAATTAGCTCCATCTTTAGCTGCAATCCTAATGATCAATCAATAATATAACATTCTGCATAATGAGTACTCTTACTGTTGGTACTTTAAGTATATTTTGATGCAGTATTTCCACCCTGTCCTCCTTCCACCAGTAAACACACATAAACTCTCATGCTGCCTCGTCTCACCACTACACAGCGAGTGGCCTTGAAGTTTTTTGTCTACAAAGGCAACTTTGCAGCATAATTACTTCAGAAAAATCTCTCAGAGTCCATCCAGCAGCCGGAGGGACCCGAGCAGCTGAGTTAGCCTTATCAGCTTAACACAGATAAGCTCCACGCTGAGCTCAAAGAGGCAGCAGGGCGGGGGTGGTAGGGTGGTGGAGGGGGGACGCGAGCAGGTGCTGGAGGGGAGATACCCTCCAAAGTTCATCAAACCACCAAACCTGAGATTACAGATGGAGGAAGAAAAAGTCCTTCCTTGACAAAAAGAAACACTGATTGTTGCTGGGAAAGAGGAGAGAAAGCTGTCCATCGATACCCGGAGAACACAGTGTGAACTTTACTGTAACGCTTTTAAAACCAGCGATTCCTCCGGGGGAACGGAGGAAGAACATTATTGAGTCTGTGGACAGAACACTCACTCAACCTCTGGTTAGAAAAACAGATTGAGTTTCAGTCTTAAGCGTCAATAAATCACTTGAACTGAACTTCATTTGTCCAACCGGGGTTCAGCTACAGTGTCTCAGTTTTAGAGGGGATGAAGGTGTCAGCTGGCAGCGAGGATACAGGAGGAGGAGGTCTAGTTCTGGTCGGTCAGGAGTGAATCATCTTCACAGCTGTTGATTGGATTACTATGAAATTACAATCAATCTTAATGACTCTGGCTGTTTCCTACGAAGGGATGTAAACACAACTCACAGTTCATGATATTGAGTTGATGGTGATTTTCTGCTGCTACATGAGGCTACTGATCGGGATGATTAGACATTCGGGGCTGCACGATATGGTGAAAAACATCAAACTGCGATTATTTTGACAGATATTGTGATTGTGATATGATTTATGATTAGTGGGGGAAACACAAATGCAATTTTTAATGAAAAAAACTACTAGAATCATGTTGATGGGACATTTTTGGGGGTTAGTACCAAACAAACGTGTTTTCTTACATTATATTTGTTGACCAGAACATCTCTGTAGAGCTACATTACTTCATTAAAGCTATCAAAGAATTCTTATTTGCATATTGCACTCAGCCATATTGTGATTTTAATGTTATTCCTATTAATTATTTAAAATAGTCTTAGAGTGGTTGTACATTTCCATGAACTGCAGCCTTCAGTGTCAGTTCACATGGTCAATAAAATCTTTGTTCTTGTTGTTTCTACACTGTAGAGTAAAACAATCTGTAATTTAATGGTGTTTTTTGTAGTTTATTTTAAAGATTTCTGTATTTTTTTAAATATATAAAAATATTATTAATAAAATTCAGCCTGTGAATTTAATCATAAAATTGCTATTTATTTAAAGAAAATGTCAATTTTTTCACATAAAAAGATTCAAATACAGTTTTATTCTGCAGATATTTATTGTTTATTTAATAAATTCAACTGTTAAATACATAAAATTAGTGACAACTAACAGTAAAATAAGTATTTGTTCTGTAATTTTACCTGGATTTGTTGGATAATTGACGATATCTTAATAATTATGGAAGCTTTAATTTTGTGTACAGTCAGCCACAGTATGTTTGTAGGGAGGTATTACCCATGGTGTCACCCCTAAAGCCTCCCTCCCCTCCCCTCTCTCTCTCTCTCTGTACTATAACACCCCTCAGATCAGCTTAGGGACCCTCCCCCCAAATCCCTCCTCACCCCAGCTGAGAACTCACCATCCTCTTCCTCACCTCTTCTCCTCTTCTTCTTCCTCACCTAATCAAAGCAGCCCGCAGATTTCTTTCCAAAATGTTTCATCATCAGGATGAAAACAGATTTTTTTACAAAAAACATAGACCGAGGCAGAGAAACTGGAGCTGAACGTCCATAATTCACCAGAAAAAGAGCTGCTGGAACATCAAAGATCCACGAAAAACAACCAGAGGAACTACTGGAGCTGCAAATGATGATAATAATCCACAATTATCATTATGGCTGAAACAATTAACCCATTAGTCATTGACGGAACATTAATCTGCATCTAATTCATGATTTTTTTGTCATTTTTCAAGCAGAATGTGTCCAAATATTTGAACCAGCTTCTTAAATGTGATTTATTTCTGCTTTTCTTTGTCACATATGAATGTATTTTGCTTTTTGGGGCTGATCACTTTAAGCTGTGTGGAGGGGTTTTTACTATTTGTTCACATGTTTAAGACAAAATGATTAATTGATTAATGGAGAAAATAATCTGTAGATAATAGATATATTGATAAGATATTGAAAATATCTTAATTATCTGATTGTTTAAGCAATTTATCAGGATAAAATCAGATTCCAGACTCTTAATTGTGAGATTTTGCTGCTTTTTCTAATATTTTTTATGATTGTAAACAGACTATCATCTTTATTTTATTGTATTTTCATTTTATTCCACAGCCTGATCAAAACAGAAAAGCTTTGCTTTGCTTCATCACATAATAAATAAATGTATTATCATCATCCATGACAGTGCAAAAAAAAAAAAACATGCTGACAGCCTCCATCCAGTAAAAAAACTCATTTATGTGATGAAGATGATTATTATTCTTCATGCGATGTCTCGTGTGTGTGTGTGTGTGTGTGTGTGTGTGTGTGTGTGTGTGTGTGTGTGTGTCAGACACTGCAGTGTGTGTGTGTGTCTGCTGATTTAAGTGCACTGCGCGCCTCCCACACACTGACAGCCCGGTGCCCGGTGGATAGAACCGGGCCGGTTGCTCCCTCACACAGCCACTCACACCCCCGTTAACTCTCTAATTGGGAGTTAAAACGAGTCCGTGGAGCTCAGTGGGGACTTCACACTGCTCCTCTCTTCATGTGTGATGTTTATTAAAGTCTCCTCAGACCTGCTGCGTATTCTCTGCGTTACTGTTGTACAATGTATCCTATTACAATGAGGAATAAAGAACTCACCGATCAGCGCGAGGTGGAGCGGGCCCGGCATGTCTGCTGCAGTGCTCAGCATCCCTCCCTCCTCCGAGAGGACAGACCGCAGATTTCAGCTGCAGATGATGCGCTCTGGATGTGACTGGAGGCCGTCAGGAGGAGCGCCGTGCTCATGGCGGGCTGTCTCTGTCTGTGTGCGGGCTCAGCTGTCTGCGGTGCAGAGGGAGACAGACAGACAGACAGGCAGAGAGAGAGAGAGAGAAAGAGAGACAGACAGGCGGTGTGTGCGGACTGAGCTGTGGTCAGATCAGGATCTGCTCTGCTGCACCACCGACGTTGGGAATAAACCCCCTGCAGCTGCCTGTTGTTGCCCCGGATGGCCGCTAGGTGTCGCTGCCGCAGACCGACTCTCGGCTGCTGCTGCGTTCAGGTGCGCCTCGGAAAACTGTGATTCACAACTTTTATTGAAGAATATACAGAAAATGTAAAAGCAAATGATCAAGAAAGAGAACAGCTGAGCAGAATTAGAAAGATAGTTACTTTAATTTAGTACAAGTTTCACAATATTTAAATAGAATACTTTCCATTACTTTTACACCTAATAATTAAAATATATAAATATAAACAAGACAAATATAAGTGAGAAGATATTTCATAGAGGTATGAACATGAATTGATTAAATCAGATACTTCCAGTCACCAGTTACTTATTTTATGAAGGATCTTCCAACTCGATTCTTTCAACACAACAAAAACATGTTTGTGTAAATAAAAACAAGAAATATCAATAAAAAGTATTTATGTGTGTTTTATAAGACAATAGAACAAATTAACCTTCGATTTATTTTGTATCAAAAATATCTCCTCTGCTCTGTATTGGTAAAGAAAGTTGGATTACAGTTCCCTTCATTGTATCCTGATTTAATCACATCATTATATGTAATCCATTACTCCCCAAACCTGCAAGGCACAAAACATGACAGTAAAAGAGGATCATAAAGAGTAAAATAAACACATTAAACATAAATATAAAAGGGATTAAAATAAAGAATCTATATATTAACATTCATCAGTGCAGATTTATAGTTTATCTGTTTATCTTTAAGATAAATTTGAGACTTTGAGGCACACATTTATATTCCCTTATGATCAAAAAATAACACATTAAAGTGTTAAAAGAAAAAATGTATCCGGCTGGGAAAACTCCTGCATTGACGTTTTCTATTTACAGTCGAGTCACTCAGCCATTCAATCTACTTGCACAGTCAGTAAGTTCGGGCCACGAGCTGCCGACAGTCAGCAGAAATTAAAGAGCAACAAACACTGCAGAGTTTAATTAGATCGGCGCTCATTAATGAACTCAAATAAACTCCCAGAGGACAAAAAGTAGAGACACGTTGTAACAAATACAGGTTTAATATCAAAAACAGAGCTACAACAGCAGGTGAACAACAGCAGGAACAGCAAATGTTTAATGGATTTTAAACCTCTTTAAAGTACTTAATGTGGGAACTGAGGCTTAAATCTAAAGTCTGAAACAATAACAGATACAAACATGTACATTTTATTTACAACCAGCCCCAAACTGAAGGCGGATAAACCCGAGAGGAAGAGCAGCGTGGAGAGAACACGAGTCAGATTATTTCAACTTAATATTCTTCTTCTTGGTCATTTCTTTTATTACAAAGCTTTTATTTTGGAGTCAAACTCTTCCTTTCATTAGTGGAGACGCAGCGTAACATTCGGTCTGAACATGAACTGATGATCCGACTTTATGAATAAACATCATCAGACTCAATTCTTTCAACATTTAAAGCTCCAACAAAAACATGTTTGTGGAGTTTTACTGCACGTTTCCCCCCGCTCTCTCTCTCTCTCTCTCTCTCTCTCTCTCTCTCTTTTACTGGCTGCTTCCTCCAGATGAATAATTTCATACATGTTAAAGAAAGTCCTTCCAGGCATCAGTTTACACCTAAATGTAACTACGTCTCCCGCTGTGAGTCCAACGTGATGAAAACCCCAAGTACTTTTACCCAATGACCCATTTTGGGCCCTTAAATAGAGTTCATGAAGCACTATTATAGGGAGGAGGAGGAGGAGGAGGAGGAGGAGGAGGAGGAAGAGGAGCAATGGGTGGCGAGGTTCTTAGAACTGCTGCAGGATCAGTTTCTTCTTCCCGTCATGGCTGAACTTGTTGGAGCGGAAGAGGTCGCTGTCGTAGAACGCCGTCAGGTTGTGGATGTTGATCTGTCTGGCCTGGAGGAGGAGGAGGAGGAGGAGGAGGAGGAGGACAAAAGGAGGTGATTAGAGCTTCATTTCTCAGTGTGGACGTCAGAGATGAAAGTCACAAGTTTTGGCTGTTAAGAGATTGTAGATCTGTGTATCATTCATTCTTTTCATTTTTAAAAATAGAATCTAAACTCAGAACATTAAAAAACTACTGTAATTACATTAGTTATTTAGTATTGTTTTATCTGTATACAGTGCACATGTAACTTATTCTGTGCAGATTAATGTCCAACATAGCAACTGAATGGGATGTTCTCTCTTTCATTACTTTATCCTGCAGCTCTTTCTCGGGTATCTCGATGGTGTCGTTCTGGACTCCGTATCGGTTCCTCTGGTAGCTGACCTGCTCGGCCACCAGCTGCTTGAGAATGAAGAGCAGCAGCTCGTTGTTGTCCCTGCGGAAGGCCAGGTAGCGAGCGAACGTCTGGACAGAAACACACAGACAACACCGACTTTATATTAACATCAACGTCTACGAGAGAGACAGCAAGAGCGAGAGAGAGAATCTGCCGGCGGTCACACACCTTCCTCATGCTCCTCATGACGCTGAACTTCTGTGTGTCGATGAAGCTCTCCAGCATGACCCTGATGGCCATGTTGACGTCGTCCTCCACCACGTAGTCCCTCAAGTGCAGCTTGGCGTGAGCCTCCGCCATCCGGATCATGGACTCGATGTGACGAACCGTGATGGGGATGCTGCCTGTGGCCTGTTAGTGAGAACAAACCAGCATTAATCTATATTATAAAGTCTACATCGCCTTTCAATTCAACAGGGAAAGTATGACTGTAAGTGCTATTATTTATTTCTCTCTGTAGAATTAATCGTCAGTGATACTTTGCTGAGATTTCTAAATATGAGTGCTGCTCACCATCGACTCTTTGCGGAGGTCGCTGTAGATACGAGCCACTTTGTCCTGGTCCATCTGGTTCAGTTTGGGGTGAATCTGAAGACACAAAAATAAACATTAACAGTTGAACCAAAGACGGACACACTTTGTATTTTAAATCAATGTGATTTGTTGTCTATAAACTATAAGCAGCTGATAGAAAACAACATTATGATTAAACATTAACAGAAGCACTGAAGACAAATATGAAAACTTTTATGTAAGATCGTGTCGGGCGTTTGTTTTTCGAGGGCGTTGTCGGCGTGTGTCCGTACCCTCTCCTTGGCGTAGATGATGTACTTCCTCAGGAGCTCCTGGGGAATCGGTGGAACGTCAGTCGTGTTGGCCAGAACCACTTCCTCTAAGGCCACGCCCCCTTCCTTGTTGCTAGGGTGATGTTTGATGTGGGAGCTTACCACGAAGCGTGCCAACATCTCATCCTGGTAGAAAGAAAGAGCCAATCACAGGCCAGAGGAGAGCGCAGTGAGTACCAGGACGTTTTATGGAAGCTCAGTAGTTTAATTATGTTTTATATAACGAACAGTGAACAAAGTCAGGTGTGTGTACCTGCACGGGGTCGATGGTGTCGCGGACGACGCACAGCACGTCGAAACGGGACACGATGGGCTCCGTCAGGTCCACGTTCTCCGCAAAGGTCAGGGAGGGGTCGTACCTGCCGCCTGCGAGGAAACGAGCACAGAGAGCGATGAGGCACTGACAGCCGCCACAAACAACAACAAGAATTCTGTCTACGGCTGATATAAAGACAATCTTATGATCAGATTAACATAATATTGGTAGAAAACACGAAATAAGTTCAAGTTAAGTTAAACTTTCTGACACAAAATTCTATTTAAGTGACATTTTCCAACATTTGCAGCTTCCAAATGCTGATTTTCTTTCTTTATGTCAATATAAATGATATAAATATCTTTATCTAGCTTTATTTAGCGCTGACTAATTGTGAGAGGCATTTTTTTTACTATTTTATTTCATAAACTAAACAATTAAAATCGTGAAAAGAAGATTAAAAAGAATGAAAATAATAAGTCTTTATAGTATAAATAATGACAAATGGTGCTTTGGAACATTGTAATATGTGAAGGTGGCAGCCATTCACATTAACTTTCAGATGTCAGATCTTTGTAACTGCACTTGAATGCACCATACAGGCTTTTCAGCTCTATCTAAAGCTTTCAATGTTGCTTTAAAATCTCTCTGTAGGTCTTTATACATGTACTGAGAAGAACAGAAACTAATGGTCTGAAAGTCTGACTGATATCTTTAATAATTCACCAATATCGTCTCTTTTTAAGCTTCATTTTGTAAATTAATTCAGCTCATGACAGACCTCCTGCGGCGTTACGTACCGATGGGGTTGGAAGCAGCGATGACGGTGCATCGGGCCTGCAGCGAGGTGACGATGCCGGCTTTGGAGATGGAGATACTCTGCTGCTCCATGGCCTCGTGGATACTCGTCCTGTCTGCATCGTTCATCTGGAGGACGGAGAGCGGGTTAGACGTTTGTTTGTGACGTCTGTGAGCAGGAGAATCATTTAGAAGTGAGACGGTAAAGGAGTTGTCGTATCTCCGCTCACCTTATCGAACTCATCGATCAGACAGACCCCGCGGTCGGCCAGCACCAGCGCTCCGGCCTCCAGCGTCCACTCACGGGTGACCGGGTGTCTCTGGACGTAAGCGGTCAAACCGACGGCAGAGGCTCCCTGACCCGTGGTGAACACGGCACGGCTCGCCACCTTCTCCACGTACCTGAAGAGTAAAACCCACCAGGAGTTCAGATTTATTTTATTGTGGGTATACATATCTTTATCTCCACTTTCAGTCATTTTATACGTTGTTTCTAACTTCTCCTTCCACGCACTGGGCGCTGATACGTACTTGAGGAACTGGGACTTGGCGGTTCCCGGGTCTCCACACAGCAGGGCGTTGATGTCTCCACGCACCTTGTGTTTCCCGCCTGGAAGATAAAGCAAAGAGTCGGTGAGTAACAGGACGAGTCGGAGGGGGGACACACAGACGGCGGTGGTCAGAGTTGATTGTCTACCTGGATTTTTGGGCTCTCCCCCGAACAGCGCCAGGGCCAGGGCTCTCTTGATGTCCTCGTGACCGTAGATAGACGGCGCAATGCTGGCGAAGACCTACAGACACGACAGAAAGTGAGTTAGGA